TAATGCCTCAACGATGCAACCTCCTGTGGCTGCGCAGCGCGAGCAGTGGTAGGCGATGATCATGAAGAGGGGGTGTGTTCACCCGTCACTCGCCTCTATTAGGTTTGTTCGACTTATATTCAAGAGCGTATAAAGAAGGGGTAAATCACATATATTATAATATATATTATTAGATTATAAGTATAATTCGCTCCTCTTAACTAACACTCCTTGACTTTAATCGTACGCTCACTCGCCCGCACGCACCGGGATCGTCTGTGGTCGCGGGCATGGTGTGGGTTCACGTACGCACGTGCGACCAACCAAGAAGAGGCCTGCGCGCTACAAGCACGCATCAGGCAGTACGACAAGAGATGCTGACCCCGCCGGCCGAAGATGGAAGGCGCGCCGTCACGGTTCCAAAATAGAACAGGCATCCCGCACGTGCGATGAAGCCCTGTGTGACTGCAGGCGGTGTGCACCGGATGCGTGCTCTAGCACAACGTAATACGCTAACCCATTAATAAACGACAGCTAACAGTGCGCATTACCTTAATAAACCACTCGCCAGACCTGTCGCACAGCGATCCAGGGACGAATTTGTATTTGCCGTCGCTTCCACCGCCGCCTGCTTTGTGCGGACGTGGGCATGTTTCGCGCGTTAGCACCGCAGCCGCGGCTGCGCGATGCGCGCGCGTATGCAGCTAGGTTCTCGATAGCTCCGTTTTGAAGTCCGCAGAGACGAATGACTCATTCATATTATCCAAAAACGCGGCGATTACAGTCCTTGGTTTGGCTTGATGGTTGATTGCTCGTTGGCTCTGGCCAGCATGACGGGTGATCATGTCGAGGCAACGACTAGCACTGTTTGCGCTACGCAAACACAACTTCGCGTCCCGCGCTAGGAAGTGCAAAAAGATTCAAGATCGTCGTATATCCAGAGGATCGGGCGCAGGTCGAGCAACTTGCATTAACGTTTTAAGGACCAAATATATCTCTNAGTAGTCAGACACTTGCCGCTGTGCGACCGTGCCTTGACTGACCATGCCGGTCGGTGCGCTCATTCACTTGACATCTGAGTTTTTTAAATAGATTAATGGGGGCGAGAGAGTGGGAGCGAGAGCGCACGCGCGCGCGAGAGAGAGAGAGAGTGAGGGGAGAGAGAAGGGAGAGAGAGCGTGCGTGCGTGCGTGCGCACGTGTAAGGGGGAGAAGGTTGAGCGACAGCAAGAGAACGAGAACAAGATATAAGTAGGTTAACGAAGATCTAGGAAGCGAGCCCACACTCGCAAGAGAGCGAGTGCGATTAGAATTGCCGTCTGTATAATGTAAAACATATAACTCTCTTCGCGTTACAGAGGCGGAAATCGGCAGTCTCCATTCTGTTGATGAAAATCGATAGACAATGATTTATTCCCATTTACAATCGGCTTCTTCTGGTATAGCTGCCGCCAACGCTGATCATGCCCGCTATATATACTGTAAGCGAGTAAATTTCATACTTTTGGGAAGCGGTGTCGATGTAAATGTGTGAGACGGTGGTTAGACGGCAAGCGGTCGGGCCCAAGATGAAAGCGAGCGAGGGCTCTGGGGGTGCCGGTATAGGGTAATACCTTACCACTTCTACTTCTGTATATGCGCATTACGGGGTGATACTCCATTAGGAGTGTTCCCAACTTTAATGGTCATATATGGTCATGGTCATATATTAGTTTGTGGTTTAATGTCATTTAGGCCGCAAGAGCCGAACGCAACCTAGCTCTAGAACAATAGCCCTTCGCTCTGCCACAGGTTCCACTGCGCCTGTGGCAGAGCGAAGGGCTATAGTTCTAGAGCTAAACGCAGCTCTGCAGTTTATATTTTGCACGCGGGACACATGTTAAAAGACAGCAAAAATAAGCTTCCCGCAGTGTACCCTCTGTTTACAGTCGTTTCTGTCTCCTTTGCGTGGATTGATGATTTATTGATTGTGAGATTTGTGATTCGTGATCGTGCGCAACATGTCTCGCACATGATATAGCTACGACTGCTGAGGTTTCACAGTTAGTTTGTCGGAATTTGGACATTGATCAAACTTCATGGTCGAGAGGCTCTTCTCTGCGGACACTTATTATAAGTGCATATATGAACAGGTTATTGATCCATGGGCCACGCTGTTGCCCCCTCTCCGCAAGTATGGCCTGCTTTGTCGGATCTGATTCTGGCTACTATAGACGTCCACTGGCGTTGTGGGCCGACATGTCGCAACGGTGTCGACGGAGCGACTGGTTTCCGTCTAGAAACGCGGCGGTGATGTAAAAATATATGGGACAAATGTGTGACGGTGTGTATGGAGTAGTAGTTATGTGCGGGCACTTCGTTCGCGCGGAGATCGCTTTCTGTGCCTGGATTATCGGTGCCTGGACGCCCTGTGTTGGCGGGTGTTATGCAGGCGTGCGGTCATTATGACAGCTGACCATTCACTGTGTCGGCAGTGCAAGCCCTCGCCCCCCCCGGGGGGGGGGTACTCCGCATAGTGGCGTGTATATATATATATATGCGCCGCATTATTGCCTCCCATTTTTCGTTTTCCTTGACATTTTTTTGCCCCCAAATTTTTTCCTATTCATCTTTTTGCCCCCAAATTTTTCCCCTGCCATCTTTTTGCCTCCCCCCCCCCATTTTTCCCTAGCCATCTTTTTGCATAGACATATAAAAGTATATAGAAATAGTAATTAGAGTCTATGCGATTGTTTTTTTTGCTTATATTTTGAAAAAAACAAGTGATTCTATCTCAAAAGATGTAATTTTACTGATTCTGTTTTTCACCATCGAGCCATCTTTTTGCCCCATGTGTTCACCGTCAAGCCATCTTTTTGCCCTCTTTTATGGTGGCAGGTGAAGTTCACCGCGGTTTTCTGCTGGGTTCGTGAGCAGCAGCAGCGCGCAAGCATTGCAAAGCCGGATCCCTCCCCCGCATGTCTGTCTCAGAGGACACGCCACGCACCTCTCTCGATCGCACCGTTGCAATTTCGGCGGGAATCAGCGTTGGGGAGTTTGTGCTACACCGCACTGTATACCAACACGTAGACGGCTAGACCCACTGGCAAATCATTCAAACTTCGTTTCGACTCGAACTGTTCGTTTTGGTTTCCCTACGAGCGTTCCTCTAAACCGCAGCGCTCATGCAGCCTACACTTGAATTGGAAATGCTGATGTACTGTGCCGGCAGTCAAGGACTTTGTCTTCCCGTCGGAGTGGTCACCTAATTGATTACAGCTATAGACGGCGGGGACGATGTACTTTGGTCGTGGATGAGTCTCGTATGCCCATGTACCCGCCGACGATCGTAAATATTGACCAGCATCGAGTGACCTCGATGTTTGCTCTCATAAGCGGTTAACTTTACCTATATATGTCTTCGTTCGGCAAACGTGTTTGTGTGCACTTCGCGCGTCGGCGGGCGGGCGGGCGGCGGCGACGCGTTCCGTCGGCAGCGTCGCGTCGCTTGCTGACGGTCGTCGTGTGCGTGAGTGCGCGAGTTCGTGTGTTTGTGCGTGTGTGTTGGATGTGTTCGGTCGTGCGCGTGCGAACGTGCGAGCGTGCGTGCGTGATTGTAGTTGTGCGTGTGTGTGTTGTATGTGTTCGGGCGCGCGTGCGTATATGCGCGCGTTGGTACGTGTGCGTACGTGCGCGCGTGCATGTGTGCGTATGTGCATGTGTGCGTATGTGCGCGCGTCTGTTTCTGAGGAGTGCGGCTGTATAGCAGATAGGAACGCGAGAGATCAACATCGCGAAGGTTATACGAGGCTTTCTTCCGGCGCCTGTGTTTGGCACACGGCGGCGATGAAAGGAAACACGCGGCCGTTTACCGCCGCTCACACTGGCCCCCCGTAATAAAGCCGCATTCATTACCCTTTCGCTGTGCGCCACAACAATGCTTGTTCTTCTCATGCAGGTGTCTGCCGTATTGTGGTACCGTAGGCACTGTGCGGAACGGCGGAGCAGCAGCGAGTCTCTCTCTCTCTCTCTATTTCCGCTCCCTAGCCGTCGCTCCCTGGCCATCCCATTGCTTGTAGTGTCCAGCACCAGTATTGATCCAGCCGAGCAAGCGCAGTTTAGTAGTAGAGCCCGCCGTAGAGCCCCATATATAGTAGTAGCCCGCCGTCTCGCAGTCATTGTATTAATCTATTAATCGCTTCTTCGAATGACTATATTTCGCGTCGCTGGATACGATCGCGCGCGCTCTTCGCGCTCTAAAGTAAACATGCATTCCCCAGTGATGCTGGCTGTCTCACTGTCGATCAGGGCTAATGCGCGTGTATCTATGCCCCCCCCCCTCCCACACACACACCGTCACCATGTACCGCGGTGAATTGTGTGATATAGCAAAAAAACGAAGGAAATAGCTAATACTGTGATAGTAACGCGGCGGGACAGGATCACTAGATTCTAAATGATATCAATCAATAGATGAATAAATTAACACACCAGCATTTCTTCTCTATGAGCTAACGTGGACACGTTAAAAATTCAGTTCAATATATTCTTGCTGTGATACGAAATAGTACAACAGCGACCAACTGCAGTGCTTAAATGTACCATGTTGCCTCGAAATGTGGATTGAACCATGCTTGCCAGGAGATTCCATCTCTCCAATTGATAGTTTTACTACTGAAAGCTAGTATAACTGTGGGGAAAGTGCTGGAATTCGAGGAACGAGAGATAACTGAAGGGAGGAGGAGTCGGTGGAGGGGAGAATAGTGTATCAGAAAGTAGATGGAGAGAATAGTGTATTAGAAAGTAGATGGGGAGAATATTGTATCAGAAATTTCTATGAGAGTGCAGTAGATGTCATTCCTCACTCACATACCACCTATACCCCAAGATACGTTGAGTAAAAATTTTCCCACAAATTCCCGTCATCGTCACCACACCGGCCTAAAAAAGAGAAATCCCGCAACCGAGATTACGCCCCCCCGCCCCCACCCAGCGAGGACGCTGCCTTGCACTACTAACGAGCCCACCCTTCCCCCCTTGCAGCAGCAGCAGTTGGCGGACCTGACGTTCAGCGACAACGATGCCGACCAACCGGTGGAGCCGATCGGAGCGCCGGCTCGCTACGAGCGAGAGGACCCGATCGCGTCGCCGCGCAACGAGCCGGCGGACGATGAGGACTACAATAGCCTGTATGGCTCCGGCTATGGGTCCGGCGACGAGGAAGAGGGTGGCGAGAGTGGCGAGGTGGAGGTGACCTACCCCGACGACTACCCGAGTGAGTAGTGGCTTCGCCGTCGTGAGCTGGATTGTTGCTGTGGCGGTATTCCTGGCGTTGTGTCGCATGTGGATTGCTTCCGTGGCTGTTGTCCACACACTTTTGCTAACATGTTCTGACTCGTTTACTGATTAGTAGTCGAGTGCTCTGGAATTGAAACCTGGTTGCCATTGAATGCTTACAATGGTCATGCCTGCTATTCTGATCATTGCTTACACTGGTCATGGTTGCTACTCTGATCAATGTTTACATTGGTCATGGTTGCTACCCTGATCATTGCTTACACTGGTCATGGTTGCTACCCTGATCAATGT